GTCTCCCCTGCTTTTAGGATGGACCTTTGGTCCCTTTAACTCTCATGATGCCAACTGGATGTCAGACACGTGTGCCAAAGCCTCAAAAAGCCCCAGAAACGTATTAACTCGGTGTTGTCAGCCCCCACACCCATTGGCTTCAAGACCCTCTTCCCTAGGCTCCCCCTTCCTTTTGTTTTCGTTTCCTTGTTAGGATTTTTTCCCCCTAAGAGTTTTCTTTAGACCAGGCTGATCCCCCAGCTTTCTGCCTCTGAAGTGCTGGGATTACAAGCATGAGCTGCCACACCCAATCAGACTTTTCCTTTTTTTAATGCCGCTCCCCTCAGCCATCTTCCCACTGCTCTGGTCGATACTATTTCCTTCCCCTAAGCTTCCATAGCGCTCAGTACCCAAACCACAGCATCTCCAACTCCGCCCTTGTTTTCCTCCATCAGTAGTCATTTGTGTGCGGTGGTAATGGGGACACACTCCTAAGTGCTCACTACGCCTTCATGAAGTGTGGCTGAAGAGTGAGAGCACACATATAATCAGGGCCGGACCAAAGCATGCACGCCCACGGGAGACACCTGTACCCCTCAGCCCCTCACAAGGGAATACAGAGCCACCGTCTGAAGAGCTGAGTCGGTACTGCCATCTGAGTGACAGTGGGCAGCTTTTTCATCTGACCCACCTCACGGTCTTAACGGTTGGTTTGATGAAATGAAGGTAAAGGGGTGGAAGCATTTCAAAGAGTTAAAAAGGTCTTATGTCCATAGTGTACCGTTGTATTTATCCCATCTTTCCAAATGCCTAGTGTAAATCTGGACACATAGTAGATATAAATAACAATGAACTTAGATCGCATTGATTCATTCCCCCCCCCACTTACTACTTTCTAGGGGCTTTAGAGGCCATTGTTGACCCCAGCTCTGAGAAAGCCTGCCTTCCTGAGGGATCAAGTGAGAAGCAGGGGAAAATGCCTTGCGATCAATACTGAACTGCCTCCAGAAACTCCCCTGGTCTCCGTTTCGACCATGAGCTAGGGAGCCTAAGGCACTGGGGAGACTCTGTGTACACTCCAGGCCCATTGTCGTCAAGAACAAACACTGCCTTTCCGCAGTTTGGGCTCCCAAGCCCTGGGTTGTGGCCGTGTCTTGATGAACTCCAGGACGCCCTGGACACCACAAGCCTACAACTCCTCATCAGCCCGTCTTTCATTTCAGCACCCCTACCCCACAGAGGACGAGAAGAGGCAGATTGCGGCCCAGACAAACCTCACCCTCCTGCAAGTAAACAACTGGTGAGTTGGCATCATCTGCCCACGGGCTCTCGGATCCAGGGGCACACGCCTGGTGGGGGAATGCAGAGAAGGGAGAACAGACAGAATGCCCACACCTACCTCAGCCTCGGCTCCACTACCAGGCCAGTCCTCTTCCCATGTGGGCTAGATAGAGGGACTCTGAGTCAGCCTGTCCTGGGCTTCAACTGCAGCTTCTCAGCGCCCTCTGCTGGGAAATTGGGCCAAACACATCCCTAGAAACTTCCTGACTTTAGAAAAAATGAGCATTGCCAGAGAATCTGGGCTCACGCCTAGCCCAGTGGAGACAGGCTAGAGGGTCTTGCATCTGGTACCAAAGGTGGATATCTGGTCTACCCAACTTCATGTGCGCTGAAACCAAAGTGTTCTACAAAGTAAGGTGGGAAAGAGGAGGGGGAAATGCTTTTCTGAGCCCACGGGGATGTCAGTGTCCTTGTCTGCTTCTGGACAGGATGGATAGATGTGCTAGACCCTAAAGCTGGGCCCCTGTTGTAGTCCAAGACAGAAGTCAGTGACTGTGACCACAGCTCTTCCCTTCTCTGTTCAAGTCTGGTGGGTCTTGAGTAGGAATTTCTGACACCTCCTTCTGCGGTCTTCCCATGCTGCCTGTGGTCACCGAGCCCTGGGTAACTGGCAAATTCCTCAGCCATAGAGGGCCTTTCCCCCTAAACTGGTACACCTGTCTCCTGACCCCTGGGGGCAGCTTAGCCTTCGTATCTTCCCCACCCCCACCCCGCCCATGGGACCCAGATGGTGACTAACCAGATCTTCACCATCACCGCTGGGCAGGTTCATCAATGCTCGGAGGCGCATCCTGCAGCCCATGCTTGATGCCAGCAACCCAGATCCTGCTCCCAAAGCCAAGAAAATCAAGTCTCAGCACCGGCCCACCCAAAGATTCTGGCCCAACTCCATTGCTGCTGGGGTCCTGCAGCAGCAGGGTGGCACCCCCGGGACAAACCCTGATGGTAAGACCAGGACCGGGGAAGCCGTAGGTTGGGGCTAGTGGGGCTCCTGGAAAGCAAAGATTCAAGGGCTGAATGTCTCCTTACACAGCCAGGATTCCTGCCATTGATTCTTCACAGCGTTTGCCCCTGCTTTTCATAAACCCTACTGTAAGAAGGGGTGTTTTATACACATTTTTGTTTTTGCTATTGCTGTTGTTTGTGATTTGTTCTGTTTGAGACAGAATCTCACGTAGTCTGGCCTCAAAGATACTACATAGCCAAGGCTATCCTTGTATTTCTGATCCTCCTGCCTCTGCCTTCTTAGTGCTAGAATTACAAGTATGAGCCGAAAGAACTCCTGTATAAATTTGAACAAACCTAAAGCAACCTCACAAAGAAGTGGGAGCTGATGGTCCTTGGAGCCAGTGGCTGCTCCGCAGAGCGCCCTCCTCACTCATATTCCTGGGTGGCTCAGTGAAGTCAATATCTGCCTAGTTCTCCAAGGCCAAGGCATCTATAAATACCAAGGCAGGCATCTGGCTTGTGAACAGAGGCCAAGAGAAGCTTTGTTCTTCCAGATTCCCCACCACACCCTCCGTACATGCTCTTCACATTGCTGGTTTCCTAGTGAACAATGAATAATTTAATCAGCGAGACGTTTCTGAAGCTGGCATGTGAAGACCTCTGTGTGGGCAGGAGGGTGGAGACACGCGTGTACGTGCATATCTTCACGCGTACGGCTGTACACTGGTTCCTATGTGGTGGGTCACCATCTGTTGAGGCAGAACAGGAATAAAGAGAGGTCGTGCTGGACACGCTTGCAGAAACGCCCAGTGCTGTCAGGACTGACGCAGTGTCTTGAATCCTTGACTTAGCTGTCTGAGACTCAGTTTCCTCCGCTTCAGAGTGGGGAGTCAGTCAGAGGGCTCCTGCTTTACAGAGTAGTTACATAGAGAATACTGAGCATGTATTGGCCGCGGGGTGGGAGGGGTTGCTACCTGAGATGATGCAGGAGAAGCAGAAGAACGGAGGGATGGGAATCTCTGTGCCAGTGAATTGTCTCACTAAGTGTTTGGACAAACAAGGGGCCCACCATCCCATGAGCCAGCCCATCCACCCTGTCCATCACTAAGGTTGCTGGGCCTGACCAACAGCCCCTGTGTACCCTATCCTTTGTCCTCTCCATGCAGGTTCCATCAACTTGGACAACCTGCAGTCCCTGTCCTCAGATAATGCCACCATGGCCATGCAGCAGGCCATGATGGCTGCACATGATGACTCGTTGGATGGAACGGAAGAAGAGGATGAAGATGATATGGAAGAGGAAGAAGAGGAAGAGGAGGAGCTAGAGGAGGAGGCAGATGAGCTGCAGACAACGAATGTCAGCGACCTGGGCTTGGAACACAGTGACTCCCTGGAGTAGTCAGGCAGCCCCGATGGCACTGGTCACCAAGCAGGAAAGGAGTGTCATCAGGAGGGGTCAGGGTGGGAGGGAGGGGACACGGGCAGGCAGCACCAAGAAAGTTGGGCCCTAGCTTCCCCAAATCATAGCTTGAAGAAACGCAGAGGCGACACCCTGTTCCTTTCCAACCACCAAGCTTCAGTGAAAACCTAGTTCCAGACCCTTGGACTGCAGAGCACTCCATTGCTGGGGCCAGTCAAACAGCCCGTGAAGAAAGGCAGAGTGAGAGCTGGACTCACCCAATACCTGAAGACAGATGACACCATGGCTCCACGTGGAAAAGGACTTGGGTAGTTCACAAGCCCTGCCCTGTGAGGTGGACAGGCGCTGTTTGCAGAGCGGACCTTTGCCAAGGGGCAGACTTGGGAGGGAAGGATGAGGCAGAGGGGACTAACGTTTCCCCACAGGAGAATCTGAGCTCCCTCGAAAGACACTCAAGGACAGGAGGGACTCCAAATGCATAACTGGTGGCCAGAGGAGGAGGGCCTGAGGCAACACCGTGTCCTGCAGATCCGAGTGGGACATAGACTGCACAGGGCTCCAGCTTGCCCCACCAGGACCCTGTCTCTTAGCACAGCAGCCATGGACTGAGGAGAGGGGGAAGGAAGCCAAACAAGACTCCTTCTTCCTCTCTTGGAAATATATTGTCGGTGGGTCCAACCTGAAGAGGTTAAGAGCAGCTCTCCATCTGGGTCAGCTCTAGGACCAAGCAGGCGGCAGAACCTGGATCAGGAGCCATATTAAGATGACTTTGGGGAACACATCTGTCCCTAGGTGATCACATCACAGCTCCTGTAATAATAGGACCTTGGTGTCTTACCCTAGATGCTCCTATCCTCAAATGGAGTTCTCCAGATACCCCCGCCCCTCTGTAAACCTTTAGTGAGGAGGGCCAGGGGTTCTTCCCACTCCACAGGTCCCCATGGTATCCCTCTGCTCCCAGGCTGGTACCACCAGCCTCTAGCCTCCTTCTTCATTCTATCCTCCAGAGAAGGCAGAAGACACATCGGAAAGAAGCGTTATCCCAATGGGAAGGCAGGGTCTGAGGAAGGTGCTGCTGCTCTTGCCTTCAGTACCCGACATGGCAGGGGGATGGCAGACCAGTTGATCTGCACACGCCAGTGGGCCCGACCCTGAGGAACTGGGGGCTCCTGGGAGGAGGCTTCCTACCATCTGCCCTCACGCACACCCTCCAAACCCCACCTTGGAGGGCCCATGATTGGCACCCCGCTCCTCCTGTCCCCTCCTATTCTACGGCTGTGAATGGCAGGACTAATCACGTGTGTGTTTTCCATTGGGTTTAATGTGATGGATGTGCAGTTTCATTTGTAAATGTGCATTAGCCATCTCCTTCAGTGGTCGGATGTGAGTGGCTATCTGGCTCAACCAGAGGGGGCCCTTGGGGTCTTCTGGGACTTCCCCTCTTCTACCTGGTTGGATGGAGCAAAAGGATAGTCACTTTTCTGAGGTCTCCCGGAAATGAATGTATTTCTCCCCCAAAAGAGCTGATATTTAATGTTTTACTAGGGATTTTTGAGAAACAAATAACCTTATTTATAATCTGGGTGATCCAATCATTTTTTTACTCCCTTTTGATGTCATACTTAGAGGAAAGGCAAGCTTTTTTGGCGTGAGACTTTTGCAACACGCAGTGGATAAAACGTATTTCCTCTTCTAGTTCATTTTTCTTGTTAAAATACATACATCCACACATAACTTCCTCCACTCAGCACCGTGACAAGCACCCTACTCAGCACGGACATGTGTGCATATGTGCACATGGATACACATGCCTACATCTCTTCCTCCCAGCCCCTTCCACCCGCCTAATGTTATGCAACCTCCTTCCAGTGTATCCACCAAACCAGTACTGAATGTGGCCGCAAAGTTTTCAGTAAACCTTATCACCTACCGAAATGCTGGTGCACAATTCTCTCTTCCTGTGACTACCTTAGAGGTCCCTTATGCCTTCAGTGGGACCCTGGGCCAGACAGGATCTGGAAGCCCAATCCACTCCCATTGAACTGATCTCCCTCAGAAAGAGAAAAGGGGTGACCTCTGTTAGCCTGTCTGGAGAGGAAGATGGTCCACTTTGGCACTCCAGCTCTAAATCAGAGTCTAGAGAGGACAGAGGATGCTCTGTACTGCCCTCTCCCAACAGTCCTCTGCACTGCAGAGGAGAGCTGACCTTCACCCTTGTAGACCTCTGTATTTCCCATTGTTGCCCCAGGACTTTATCATCCAAGTTGGTGCAGCCATGGCCTACACGTCACTCTCATAAACCCACCTTCCTGTTGCTTGAGTTTTCCTGCCTGGCCCACAGTCAGGACAAATCTCTCTCACCCGCCAGTCCCAAGCCGCTCAAACCCGATCAAGTAAACACAGAGACTTATTTTGGTTACAAACTGTATGGCCGTGGCAGGCTTCTTGCTAACTGTTCTTACAGCTTAAATTAATCCATTTCTATTAATCTATATCTTGCCACGTGGCTTGTGGCTTACCGGTACTTTACATCTTCCTTATCCTGATGGCGGCTGGCAGTGTCTCCTACTCAGCCTTCCACTTCCCAGCTCTATTCTCCTCCTTGTCCCACCTATACTTCCTGCCTAGCCAATGGCCAATCAGTGATTTATTTATTGACCAATCAGCAACACATTTGACATACAGACCATCCCACAGTACTTCCCCTTTTCTTTTCTTAAAAAGGAAGGTTTTAACCTTTACACATCTCCAAAGTCAGCTTGGTATATTTGGGAATTTGGGCGTAGCTTCTCTTACTACTTCCTGCTGGAGGGGGGCGCTGTATCTTCTGGGGAAACAAAGAAAATTTTAGGATCATGGAGTAGTCCGTGAGGCTGTATCATCTGAGCCAGTTGTCTTGAAACGGTTCTGGATGTTGGATCATCTGGGCCATGGTGTCATCGGAGACCTTTCAGGGGGTCTTGGCTGGTCAAACCTGATGTATCTTACTCTGGAACAAATCCATAGCCTCTCGCTTTCTGTGGAAACAAAAGAGACTCTTTTCCAAAGCAACATATCCTTACATCCAAATTTTGAAGTCAAAGTATCTTTAAAATATACATACTGGTTTAACTCAGCTTCCTTTACAATCAAATATCTCTCTGTAGTTAAGAATCCCAAAGACAACACAATCCAGACTCTCTGTGTAATAGTCATCTCTACGTGGCTTATTTTTTATATTAATTTTACTGTCTCTTTAAAGACTTTATTTTTTAAAACCATGTATTTGTTTCTATACTGTATATATCACCTTTTTTTGTCTCTTTCAAGCCTACGTATATTTTACACACATTTTAAACTATTACATCTGAATCTGTCTTATTGTGAATCTATTGCTTTAAGCTGCAGCAACTGTGGCAGCTGGCTCCGCCCACCTCAGCTTCCCAACATGGCGGCGGCGGTACTGTAGTTTTACCACCAGCTCTGGGAGCTATTGTGGGTCTATGCTTTTATCCAAGCAGCGTGTAGCCCAGAAACCTCTTTTTTTGTTTTGTACTAGCAAAGGCTAAATCCACAATGTAGCTTAATGTGCCACTTGCAGAGGCCTCATTCCCGCCATACTGCAGGTCGAGCGCGCACGCCAGCAACCCGCCAGTAGCTCAAACCGGCAGCTGCCGCTCATTTGAGAGAGACAATTAGGAACTGTTTTTAGCTCCGTTTTAGAATCTTTTCTCAGGTTTTAGGTGGAAACTCGGGCCCCACGTTGGGCGCCATTTGTTGCTTGAGTTTTCCTGCCTGGCCCACAGTCAGGACAAATCTCTCTCACCCGCCAGTCCCAAGCCGCTCAAACCCGATCAAGTAAACACAGAGACTTATTTTGGTTACAAACTGTATGGCCGTGGCAGGCTTCTTGCTAACTGTTCTTACAGCTTAAATTAATCCATTTCTATTAATCTATATCTTGCCACGTGGCTTGTGGCTTACCGGTACTTTACATCTTCCTTATCCTGATGGCGGCTGGCAGTGTCTCCTACTCAGCCTTCCACTTCCCAGCTCTATTCTCCTCCTTGTCCCACCTATACTTCCTGCCTAGCCAATGGCCAATCAGTGATTTATTTATTGACCAATCAGCAACACATTTGACATACAGACCATCCCACAGTACCTTCCTTTGTTCATAGGTGGAAAGTCCTGGAGCATGGAAAGAGATGAATCGTGGGCTGCAGCTTTAACCCTGGTACTATGTCCAGGGCAGGGTCTGACCCCTAATCCCAGGAGTCTCTTCATTCCCTGCAGCCAAGCCAAGGATGCAGAAGGGGTCAGAAAAGTCAAAAGATTCAAAAGACGATAACAAACACATTACCACCTCACCTCCCCAAATTGGAAAGACAGAGAGCCAGACATCATAGACCATGTAAGTTGTCCTAACCCTCCGGAGTAGGAGGCAGGGGGATTAGAAGTTCAAGGCCATCCTTGGCTACATACTCAGAGGATAGCCTGGAATACACGAGACTTGTCTCAAAAAATAAAATGTAAGTAAAAAGAGAGAACCTGGGGGAGATTTCATTATCATTTCAAGCAGAAGTTTCCAAGGAACACACACACACACACACACACACACACACACACACTCAAACGAACTGAAGAGAAGGCTCAGCAGTTAAGAACACTTGCTGTTCTTGCACGGAGGACCTACACTCAGTTCCTAGCACCCATCTCAAACAGCTCACAACTGCCTGTAACTCCAGTCAGGATACCTTTCTCTGACCTCTGCAGATACCAGACAGGCACACTGTGCACTAGCATGCATGTGGGCACTCACACACACAAATGAAATAAGAAGTCTTTAATATATGTATACACACAGCATATATATATTGCCAAGGAAAAAATTCCATGACCAAATTAGCTGGATACTCTTAGCTAAAAATAAATGCCAACCAAATTAACCCAAAGTTCCTAGCTAAATATACCACACATTGTGTGCAATGCACATTGTAGTGAAGGCTCCGAAAAGTCCTGCAGGAAAAGAAGCCTGTTTAACTCTTTAGCTGTTCCTTAGATTCACTTGATCCGTCTCTGCTCCTTCTTTCCAAGTCATATGTATTAAGGATTCTGCAAACCACACAGCAGAAAATATGTCCCAAAGAAATTAGACTAACATGGTTTTCCAACCCGGGGTGCCATCTTTTCAACCATGCTGACAACTAAAAGTGGGTTTGTGGTGTGGGTGGTTGTGTTCTCAGGAGACGGCAAGTGCTGTGTCTGCATGATCCAGATGATGCAGACAAACCCAGAGAGATGTCCCCTGTGGTAATGACAGAGAGGGGATACTGGGGGTGGGGGTGGGTAGATTTCTTTAGCCTAAAATAAAACTCTGTTATTAACAGCCCAAGAAACTGTTCAGGCCAGCTTCTGGACCTGACTGCCAGTTCATCGGAAAGGCCCTTTCAGGCTTGCAAATCCTGCTGAAGACTTAAACATCCTTGGCCAGAAGCCCCTCTTCTGATTTACACAGGCCAGATGACAGCAATGGCTGGCAGCCTGCAACCAGCTCAGTCTTAATCCCAACGAGCTCACTGTTGTTTCTGCACACAGTTGTTAAGCTCGCACTGTCCTGGGCTCCGTTCTAGGCACAGGAGACAGTCATGGTCATGAATCCCTTCCGGGCAGTCCGCATCCTAAAAGAGTGGGTTAGAGCCACAGTCTGACCATTCTGAATGATCTCTAACTTTATTGCTCAGTGTTGCGGACAAGAGCTGCTCAGGTCAAGTGTGATGTTGAGATAACATCCTGCTTACAGTCATGGTTTGCTCAGAGCAGTTGCTTTTAAGATTGTTACACCAACATTTAGAAGTTAGAAGATTGTACATGGAACAAATGAGATTCCTGGTCTCTCCTGAAGTCAGGCAGTCAGGCAATTTGGGATCTACATGCCTGCATGACTGTGACTGGAGCACCTGAATGACTGCTACCCTGAGATTCACTCTCTAAGTTATGACATCCCCCACTCCTGTGGTAGCCCAGCACTGAGGCTGAGGTCAGCTGTGGTTATGCTGGGACTGACCTTAAGTAGTTAGTTAGGTATTCTCCCCTTTCTAATATCTAATTGGGTTAGAGTGCTTTGTTTTGGGTGTTTCAGTCTGGTGTGGCTTGATTTGGTGGTGTTGGGGATTGAACCTAAGGCCTTGAAAATGCTAGGTAAATGTCCTACCACTGAGCTGCATCCCAATTCTGCGTGCGTGCGTGCGTGCGTGATCTATTTTTTTGAGGGGGGAGGTCTTTCTGTGTATCACAGGCTGGCCTGGGACTAGTTATGTATAGCAGGCTAACCCCAAACTCACTGTGCAGTTAGGCAACCTTGACCTCTTCATCCTCTTGTCTAAGACTCTAGTGCTGGAGTTACAGCTGTGCATCGCTGTACAGAGTTTATAAGTTTATAATGGGTCTTTATTAAGAAGGGAAGTATTTCTCTAAACCCATTTCTCCACCAAGAATGAGAAAACAAGATCATCCAACGGGACTCTGCCTTGGAAACAAAATATTGGAGAAAATATATTTGTGCAAATGCAGATAATCCTGCCTTTTCTTGCACTTTGTGCCTATCTCACACCCAGACACCTTCATTCACTTGTCATACCTGCCTACCTGGCCTTGAGAGGTAATCATGAGCTCTGAGGGAACAAAAATTACCATGAGCAGTGTTTCCTCCGGAACATTGCTCACAGAAAATAGACTTCAGGGGCCCTTTCGTCTCAGCGGGTAAAGGAACTTGCCACCATGCCAGACCATCTGACTACGATTCCTGGGGTTCACATGATAGAAAGTAAGAACTGAGACGTTCAAGTTGTCCTCTGACCTCCACACACATGCTACGGCGGATGTGCCCCCCACACAAATAAATAAAATATGTTCTTAAAAAAATAGGTTTCAGAGCTAGGCATATGCACCTGTAATCCAAGTACCTAGGAGAGAAAGGCAGGAGGATGGAAGGGTTTGAGACCAGCTTGGGCTACCTAAAGAGACCCCACCTAAGAAAGATAAGAGAAAAGGGGGAAGAGAGTAGAGTGGAAGAGAGAGGAGAGGAATCTCCAGCTCCTCTTTCAAGTTCCTTCCTACATAGTTCCCTTCTTTCTTTTTTCCATGTAGATCCAACTTCAAAGCCATTTGTCCATTCCCTGACCTTTCAGGGTGCCTACTATGTACAGCATCAACCTGAGGTCAAAGGATAATTCAGCTTTGCAGGGAGGGCATCATCAACCAGGGGATAAGGACTAAGGCCAGCAGATAGTGTGGCCTGAGCTGTGCTGTGTGCTTCTTGACACCTTATTTCTAGCCCACAAACAAGGCAGGTTATATTACACCACTTCCAAGTGTATCTTCTACTTTGATATTTCTCAGCCTCTCTCTGGGCCGATCTCATTTAGCCCCTTTGCAAATTAAATGCATCTCATTAAATTGAACCCATTTAGGACAATGCCCTTCAGGTGTGTGCATCTTCGTACATCTTTCATTTTAAGACAAGTGTTTGATTTATTTTCATCTCATTAAACTCTTTAAAATTATGTGCATCTCATTACACTCAGCACACTGAGATGACTTATTTCAGGTGTAGACATTACACCCAGTATTACCAGGCAAGAATATGAATTTTTTTTGTTTCATTACAAGCCTTACAATTTATGTACATCTCATTACAATCAGCCATTTAAGACAATTCCCTTCAGTTGTATGGATCTCATTATACCTTTTCATTTACTGATTTTTTTCAGGTTATTTATTCAGAGAACTCACTTCAGGTGTATATGTACCTCATCTTCACCTGTTATTCATGTGAATTTCTGGGTGGCTATTCATGTCATTGCATTGTAAAATGTTTATTCTATCAAACTTCTTGAAGGCCAGCTATGCCATCTTGTGGGCCTCTTATGATGGCACACACAGGAAGAATGCTGGGCTTTCTTCTCTGGGTTTAGTCAAGACTCTGCCAACACTGTCCTTTATTACACAGAGACCACCAACATCAACTCTCCTCATGTGCACGCTGAGGAGGCAGACGGGGTCTAAGTTCTCCTTCCACTGATATTCGTGAAACTGTAGTGCTGTAGACGATGGCTCAAGTTCTTAGTTCCTCCTGGAGATGCTGCCCAGATACCCACCCAGCTAGGGAATTAAATGAGTACCACAGCCCAGCTCCCAGCACCCAGAGGAACACATACTTCCTGCTCCATCCATCCCTTCATCTGTCGGTCCATCCGTCCATCCATCCATCCAATTACTGGGAATGGAACCTGGGTCCTGTCTATTGGCAGGTGCTCTACCACTGAGCTACACCCCCAGCCCATGCTCTGCTTCAGACTGGATGGAGTGTGTATCCACACAGCAACTCCTGTTGGAAGGAGGTGAAGCAGCTTTGCCCTCTTAGGATGGAATCTCCCCAGCTCCTTCCAGGCTCAGTAGCGTTTATTATCTCTCCTCCAATCCTATCCTGGGGATTCTCAGCTGGAGTGCACCTTAGAATTGCTGAGCGGGAGTTTTGGACTTGCAAATCAAAATATTTCAGAGTCTGGACCAGGAGGTGCATTTCAACAGCACCTCAGAGATTCTGAACTCGATTCACAAAAGCATCTTCAGGGCAGTCACTTGGAGCTGAAAATGGTGGATTCTCTCAGCATTGTCCCTCCAAGCTCCCGTTTGCAACTCAACAAGAGTAAGTTCAGAGTGAGCAAACAGAGTTGCAGACTGGGGACCTGTGGGTCAGTGAACCCTCTCACCCATGGCATGTAGGAATCTTTGGTCTGCACACTAGCATTGTCTCTCCTCCCTCTCACACTGTCCATTGCCTTTCAGGGCCAAAAAAAAGCCAAATCACTACACAGAGGCAGCCCATGCCTGGCTCTCCACCCCCGATGTGAGAGCCGAGGCATGAGGAGTGAGAGTCCAGGAGCAGAAACGCTGCCTGGCTCTGGGACTCAAGTGCTACAGGGGAGCTTGGCTGCAGGGAGCGTGTGGTGCTTCCGGGTATCTTGAATTCATCCTCAGGTTCTAGCTGTTCCACCCAATGCTAGCACTGGGTTCTAACTCAGGCAGCATCCCTGGGTGACTCTGGGCTGCTTTGTCTGCTTCTTCTTCTGTCACTCCACCTGTCGCCTCGCCAGTGAAAATAGAACCTATTCTCCAAACTCAAAATAACTCTGGCTTGACACCCTCTTCTTCCACCACTTCTTGGAGTGAACCTGCTGAAGAATCAGAATGCACCCGCCTCCTGCCTGCTGTTCATCTCTTCTTCCCCACCCCACCCCCTGGGCGGGGGGCAGGAGTTCTACAATCAGCCCGAGGCCTCCCTAGGCCTCTCCCCAAGCAGGATTTAATATGGATAGAATTGGGCATCATCAATCAAATCTGTAACCCCAATACTTGGAAGGCCAAGGCAAGAGAATCGCTAAGAGACTGAGGCAAAACCGGATTGTGGTGGCCTGTGCCTTGTATCCCAGCACTCCAGAGGCAGAGGCAGGTGAATCTGAGTTCGTGACCAGCGTGGTCTACAGAGCAAGTTCCAGGACAGCCAGAGTTACACAGAGAAACCCTGTCTAGGAGCGGCGGGGAGAAAGAAAAGAAAAGGGGGAGAGAGAGAGAGAGAGAGAGAGAGAGAGAGAGAGAGAGAGAGAGACTAGCCTGAGCTACGTAGCGAGACACTGTATAAAAACACAAAATAAAACAGTTACAAGGCTAGAGTCCCTGTGAGGCTGATTTAGGGGAGTACGCCACATTCATCTTCTTTTGTTTTTGTTTTCAAGACTTCTGTGTCTCTTGGATTATAAAATAATGACCATCCAAAGCTAGAGAGGCCACAGGGTCCAGCCCTGTCACTGTGTTCCTCAAAATTTACTAGTAAAAGCCACTTATGGAGCACTTTGAGTACATGCTAGACACTAAAGATTCTTCAAAACAACACTGAAAATTCTACTAGAAATATGACTATCAGTAGTCTCATTCTTAAAATATAGAAGTTAAGGCTAAAAGAAATTACGTAATTAAAAATATATATTATGCATATATATATACATATACATAAATATGTTATTTTGGAGGTGGACATGGCTCATGGCTGTAATCCCAGCACTTAGGAGGCAGAGGCAGAAGGACCAATAATTAAAGGCCAGCCTTGGTTACAGAGAAAGTCTGAGGTTAGCCTGGACTATATGAGAACACACCTCAAAAAACTAATAAAACAACAACAACAACAAAATCTAATTAAAATTAGGTTTTAGTTAAGCATGGTGTTATGTACTTTTAATTATAGCACTAGGGAGGCAGAGGCAGAGAGGGGGTTCTGTGGATTCAAGACCAGCCTAGTATATAACAAAGTTCCAGGCCAACCAGAGCCATATAGAAACTAGTCTTTAGTTTGGAAGTGTGGCTCAGTGGAGGGGCAAATGTTGAGCATGAGTGAGACCCTGGGCTCAGTCTCAACACTCAAAAAAAATTATTTGATCTGATATGTAGTACAGCTAAGATTAAGAGTTCAAGGTCAAACCCTCAGTCCTTTCATGAGATAGTCATGGGCCTCCCTAAACCTTGGCTTGACCAGAACCAGCCTCCAGGCCAAGGGAGGAGACCTTTCATCCTGAAGTTCTAAGAGGTGTTTGCCTCCCTGAACATGCCCTCACCTGTCCCCCACAAAGTCCCTTGGATGAGAAAGTGCTCAAAAATGTGGGTTGCAGCCTCAGTCTGCCTGCCCACAGCAGTCTCCCTTAGGAAAGAGGCAAGATAGAATCTCTGTCCTCGGAACTCAGGAAGTCCCTTTCCACAGATCTGCTGAGCGGCAGGAGTGGACTGGAGGGGGAGTCAGGAAGTCGATCTTCGAAGGAGAAGCTGTCTGGGATGGAGGAGTGGGCCAGAGCTCCTTGCTGATGGTTGCACAGATGAGGTTTAGAGATCTGTGTGTTGAGTCCAAGTGATGTAGCAGCGCCAGCCAAGCCTTTTCCCCTGACCTGTGTAGAAAGGCAACCCTCTCCCGCTGCCTGGAGATCAAGGTACTTAGGTGTTTAGGACCGACTCCTGAGCACACAGTCACAATCAGGCTGGAAGATGGAGGAGGCACAAAGCGCTGGGCGCTCTTGGACAAGCTGGCCTAGAACAGGTGCCCACACATAAAGGGGAGTCAACTGAGAGCCGAGAACTGGCCCAGGGCTCCGGGGCACTGTCAGATCCAGCAATATTGGTGGGAGAAGATAATAAAATAATTCTGATCAAGGAAAAGGGGGGACAAAGGATGAAGTGGAAATACGCTGGACTGGAAGACAAACACCTGGCTCCTCACTTCTTGCAACCTATGATTCTTTTCCTTGTTCTGGGACATGTGGGGGCAGGGAGAGCACGGACAGTGCGGGAGGAGAGAGAGGAGAGAGAGGAGAGCAGAGGGGAGAGGCAGAGGAGAGAGAGAGAGGAAGAGAGAGAGAGGGAGAGAGAGAGAGAGAGAGAGAGAGAGAGAGAGAGAGAGAGAGAGAAGTGCTTGTGTCCCTGGGGGTTTTTCAGACAAAGCTATTATCGAAATGCCAACCAGCTCCTGCTTGGCTAATTTGCATATTCCATGCTGAGCACTGGGAAGCAGGATGAATATGCATGAGGGCTTGGGTAAGATGTGGAGCTGCTGGGCTGCGGGCTAAGGTGGCTCATTGTTCTTTAGAAGTAAGGCTTTAGAAAGCCAAAGCACCTTCCAGGTCAGCAGAATGGCCTGTGCTTCCCTCCCAGCGGAAGGAGAAGGGCAAACGCCAGGCTCAGACAGAAATCCAAATGATGACGATCCTCTCAGACTCACAAAGAAATACATAATCAGGCGCCATCGAGAATGGGAGTGTCTCTTCTCTAAAAGTAGCATATAATTACTCCCCTCTTGTGCATGCTAATCATGGAGGCTGGCTCAGGGACGAGAGTCACCTCTCCTGGCTTCCAGGAAATGAGGCTCCTCTCCTTACTTTTTGCTTTCTAAACAGGAAAAGCGTACACTCTGGGGTGCCCCAGCTTTCAGCCTCCTACGTAGACCCCATAATGCCCTGGGTGACCAGGCTGTGGTAGGAGAGCCTAGGGCATGGTGGGTGCTGATCCGTGCCCATGGCATGGATTCAGTCAAGTACTTGAAGATTTAAGTTATAATACATCTTAAGGCAACGGGGTAGATGCCAGGGTTATCGATCAGTTGGAAGGGCATGCCTGTCTTGGGAAGGCCCTGGTCAATGCTTACTCATTGACAGTTTACAGTTCTCTATGACCACCAACTCAAGACGGTTCTACTCCAGACATTGAAGTGAAAGTGGAAAGGGCTCATTTTATACTTTCTCAGCAAAATCCGTGATTTCCAATTTCATCCTACAAAACTTGGGGCCACAAAAAACTTGCCATGTTGTTTTCTTCCTGAAGGATCGTGGCTGTCTCCCATCCTTAAACAGAGATTAAAAAAGACCAGAGAAATGTTCACCCCACCCCACCCCCATCATGTGTTTCTGCTCCACATAATTAAAGGGGGGGCCTCCAGCACCATAATTGCTTTTCTTCCCAGGACTTGACCAGACTAGGTTTAGAAAAATCTTTTAATAGAAACCCACTTGAGTTCAGGGACCTCCCAGCCATCCCGCTATTAGTCTACCCGGGAAGGCTACTGTAGATGGGACTTTCCACTACTGATTTAAGTGTTGACATCCTAGACTTGGTGTGAGTTTTGTGATGGACCCTGAAATGCAGTTCACCATCTGGGCTTCCCCTCCACCCGACATTGCGATGGTACTCCAGAACATTCGAGCAGAGGGGAAGCCTGAGAAGAGCATTGGTTTCACGTGCTAACATTAGCGGAGCCTTCCCCGGGTTCTGGCTCCATTCAGAGCACTAACTACCAATGCTGTCCCAAAACCTGATGCAAATGCTAGCTAAGGAGAGCGCTTGTTTGAGGTGGGCTTGGATAGACCAGGGGTTTTGTCTTTTTTCTAGGTGTGGTCGGTACTGCTGGACACCAAACCTTGACGCACGGGGATGGGGGGGAGGAAAGGCAGGTGGTACAGAATCTTGAGGGATGACTTTCATGTGCCCTCTCAACTCCTGTTGCAGAAAGGTGACAAAATCAAGGCACTCTTCTCCCCTTCTTTCCGATAACCTCCTCAAGGGTCCCAGACACTTGAGGTTTATTTTTAACTACCACTGGCTTTGATTAGCTTGGCTCCGGCTGCTTCAGACACCTGCTGGCAGGATAAATTGGGGAAAAAGAAGCGGCTGACCCAGATCTCATAAACCCAAAACAGGAGGAAAAGTGTGTGCATGCGTGTGTGTGTGTGTGTGTGTGTGTGTGTGTGTGTGTGTGTGTGTGTTCATTATTTCCCCTTTGCTGACATTGATGAAAAACCCTACAACTGGCAAAATGTTGAACTTCCTGATGATGATCTCATGACTAGTGACCTTTGGCATCTGTAGCCTTAAGGCTGATGAGTTGTAGAATTGAAGTCTCCTTCTTTGTCAAAGGCTTAGTATCAGTGTCAGGTATAGATTCTGATGGTCTGGGTGTGTACTTTGTGGTCTCTTCCACCTTAGGTGGCAGCCCGCATGTTCTCTACATGGATCTCTGTATAACTTGGCACTATGAACACACACAAGACATACAGGTACTCTGACAGCTTCCTGGTAGAGTAAGGCCCTCCTCCTTTGCTTCCCACCCACCCTCAAAGATGGCCTCTTGTCTGCTTCAAGGAAAGCAGAAGCCTGGGAAATGAGTGGCAGAGAACCCACTCCGTCTTCTCTTGTCGCCCTTATCAGGCTTTCTATGGAGTGGCTCGTGTGGTTAAGCAAGCACTACGCCCCTAAACATCAGAGAACATCTACTTGGATGGGACCTAAGTGTCCGTCCATCTCTACTATCTCCTTAGTAGCCTTGGGTGAGTTACTAACCATCTCTGCTTCGCGGCTTTCTCCTCTGGTTAATCCAGAAGATATGAATACATACCTGTTTATGACTCTGAGTTGCTGGGATGTGAGACAAGGTGTAGAAAGTGATAGGGCCGGTAGCAAGCATGCAGTGACCACCCCATAAACCTTCTTTTGTTTTTGTTTGTTTTGTTTTGTTTTGAAAGCCAGGGGTATGGGAACTGGCAGTGTGAGTATCATTCAAACTAGAAGACGAAAGGCAATGGAATTCAGGCTATGCTAGGACAGAGTCAGCATCCGGGATCCAAGGGCAGCATTCACCTGCTGTAATCGAGGCTGACAGATGCCTACTACCAAAGCTAGAGGCTGCGTGGAGGAGTTAGTGCTGCTGGGCCTCAGGGCTGCAGTAAGGACGAGCAAAGTCACAGGATGCTGTTCCGTTCCCACAGGCCACTGAGGGCAGAGAGGGAATAGTGACAAATCTCAGGGCAGGAAAATGGTGCATCCTCCCAGGTAGCTGAGGTCAGCAGAGCTTCTTCCCTCCAGCTCCTGAGCTCCGAGGCCCCCAAAATCCAACCTGGCACCCCAACAGGTGGCACTGTAGACATACCACTTATAGCTAGCCCATCCCTGGAATTCTCCACCTCCACCTAGCTTCAGACCAGCTAGTTTCTACCCCATGTAATATAGCCAAGCAGCGAAAACTTAAGAGATGATGGATGGCCTCCTGTGGTGTAGGCAGCCTCATCACATCACACAACCCCACTAGTACCCACCATGGGGTATCAGCACCATGGCCACAGGCCAGCAATTGAGAACAGCCAGACATCATTTCCCTAGAAGGTTTGGAACACAGAGCCAATGGATACCACTCTCCAAAAAGCATGAAGAATATTAATTAAATGAAGGTTTATTTCAAAATTAGTCTTAGAGTATAAGCTGGGTTGAGGGCTGGAGCCAGACTACATAATGAGTGGTGAGGGCACCTGCCTTCCCCAACACGGGTGGAGAGGAAGCAGCGTCGTCGGCCCTGCGCCCGATCATGCATCCAAGGATTACTAGCACTAGAAGCCAACAGCAAAGGACCCCGCGCGCGGTGGCTCATGTTTAATCCAGGTTAAGCTATACACGTTTAAATACACGCCGGAGGTTACGTGGTGTCATGCAATCCCAGTGACGGGATGACTTTCTTGCTCAGTGACCTCCCGCAGTGAGGCTGCTCCAAAGGTGAGGTTAGGTTGGGCAGAGCACTGAAACGAGAAGAGGAGAGAGGTCATGCAGGGGTCACGCTGAGCAGAGAGCCACCCCCAAGGACCTGAGTCACCTTTCCAGGAACAGGAGAGAATGACGGGTACCTGCTACCATAAGCAAGCGCTGCTGTCTCCAGGGCCCATGGATCGAACTCTGGGACTTTAAGGAAATGCCTTCCCTGGCCATGCTCATTCTTCACCCACACATTAGGATGTACCTGAGCTGCTCACAGGGTTGCTGAGAGACTTGTAAAATACGCTCCATAAATATTAACTATATTATAAATTCACTGACATTTCAGTGGGTCATGGCCTAGCTTTCAGCTCACCAACCTCATATAACCCATCTCTACACACTTCTATCCTTGCAAAGTCTTTGAGAGTCACAAGCTCTTCCTACTGGAATTTAATATTAATCCCTCTGATCCTCATAGAAAGTGTACAGTTTGGGATTTCACAACCAGGTTCCATAAGCCTGTTGCAACTCCTCTAGGTTTTGTGTGAATGTGGAACAAGAACTCAAAGATGATGGGTCCAGACATACACTGTGTGGTCATCAATAGCCAATAACACACAAAAAGAAGACAACCAGACAGTGTAGGGCTCCTCACGGGGATCTGCAACCACCCGTCAGTGGTGTTCAGCAAAGGTCCTGAGCCTGGACCTCATCAAGCCCCTCGTTACACCAGTTACAATAACTAAAGGAGACAGAGAATAGATTAAAGATATTCTATAATTTATTGATTTAAATAATTAAGAAGAAGGAAAGGGTAGGTTATATATGTTTGTTTGTTTTTTTTATTTTGGTTTGGTTTTGGTTTTTCAAGACAGGGTTTCTCTGTGTAGCTTTTCGCTCTGTAGACCAGGCTGGCCTTGAACTCACAAAGATCTGCCTGCCTCTGCCTCCCGAGTGCTGGGACTAAAGGCGTGCACCACCACCGCCTGGCTGGTTTTGTTTTTTAAAGATACATTATTGGCTGAGCATGGTGGTGATCCCAGCACTTGAGAGGTGGAGGCAGGAAGATCAGGATTTCAAGGTCCTTCTCAGCTACAGAGAGGGTTAGAGGCCAACCTGGGCTACCTGAGATCCTGGGAGGAGGACAGGAAGAAGGGGTAGGAGTGGCAGAGACACAAAGACAGACAGAGATAGACTTAGGAGATAAATCATCACATTTTATGGACCTTCATCAGGTCCTGATGCAAGCAAACGAACTGGAAACACTTGATGGGGACCAAGGTGATCTGAGCAGTGATTA